ATATTTTTGACATTTTGTAAGTACGACAAGTCGACAAAGCAAATAATATGTACAAATTATTATAAACTGAAATTAAAATAGTCACTGGCGCGATGAAAAGTTGGAATTATCTGACTTTATTTTTCTATGCGTGCAATCATTTCACTTGCACGCCAGTAGATGTTTACACGTGCATGTTTATTTTTAGTGGCGCGCCAGTTGTAACTTGCGCCACTACAAACATGCACGTGTAAACCCAGCATAATGCTGGTTACGCCTCTGGTTATAATTGGCAGCTATGTCACTAGAGTTCTGGTAATAAAACTCTAGCGTGTGCGAAGGCTTTTATACCACTCGCTTATCTTTACCGCCGTGCGCAGGGGCGGATTGGCAATTATTTTCGGCCCAGGAAATATGAAACAAACCGGCCCATGAACCCCAAATTAAACTATTTTACCCTTCTCCCCTCCAAAAAAATGCTTTATTTTATATCAATTTCAAAATTTGTTTAGTTTCATCCCTAAATTAGTAAAATTTACAATAACTTTACTAAAATTATAGCTATAATAGTTTTGGGTAAGTTGCATGATTAATCAGTTCCAACTTGAACTTGAAGTTTGATCTTAATGCATCTTTAAGTATATATTTATTTTTTTTAATGATTTTTATTTATTTTATAAAATAAAACTTTTTTTTGGAAATTATATAATAATATAGAGCGGCCCAAACAAGGACCGGGCCATCGGGAAGATTCTCGATTTCCCTATAGACCAATTCACCTCTGGTCGAGCGTGTTTATAAATCAAAGTTCAGTATATGGTGCAAACATAGCAAAGACCAATACTTCCCAACATTCGGGCCATAAACGTACTAGTAGCACGGCCTTGTTGCCGCGGCTAATCAACAAAAATAGATACACCCCAATCGCAAATTTGGAAGATCAAAATGATATCTTAGAAGAAGAGGACATAGATCTCGAAGAGATAAAAAAAAAAAAATTCCTCCACTATATATGAAATCAACGATTATATTATGTTCCTAGATAAGATCACACCTATGATAATAGACAATTTTAACATAAATAATAAAAATGTATTTTTAAAATTAAACTTATCAACTGTTGACGACTATCGTATAATCATCAAATACCTTTCTGAAATTAAAATAAAATACCTTACCTATCAACTTCCCGAAGAAAGAAATCTATCAGTATTAATCAGAAACATGCCAACTTCTATTCCCCCCGAAGAAATAATATTTAAGGCCCTCGTTGAGCTAAAATTCAACGTCACATCGGTAACTCGTTTCCAAAACCGTCATAAATCTCCTATCCCAATTGTTGCTGTCTTACTAGACAAATATGAAAAAAATATCTTTTCACTTAATCGCCTCCTCCACTGCGTTTTCGTAGTCGAAAGTCGCGAAAGCGATTCTTTCATACCACAATGTAAAAACTGCCAACGCTTCCAACACACAAAAACTTTTTGTAATTTTCCCCCTAGATGCGTCAAATGCCTAGAAAACCACCATTATTCCGAATGCAACAAAGATACAAACACATCACCAATATGTGTCAATTGCAATGAAAATCATGCTGCTAATTACGAATATTTTAAAATATACAAACAAATTAAAACTAAAAATTCCTCTAAACGTTTCAGGAACGATCATAAACACATAACGCTATCGAGCAGTTTAAATGATGACAATAATACCAAAACCCTAGCCATTACTGTCGATCTCATAAATCCCCAAAATCAAAACCCAATCCTAATAACTACAAACTCAAGCAACACTCTAACCTATGCCAAAAAAACCAAAAATAAAACCAATCATCATCAAAAAAAATAAATTAATAATTCAAATATTACTAGCGAGCTTATAAAGTTACTGATGTCATTAATCAGCTCACTCATCTCACAGATTATAAAAAAAAGTTAACGAAAATCTACCGGCTCTATTAAATAATATAAATGTCGTCTAATAATTATAAATAATATTAAACTAGTTATCATAAATTGGAATGCCAATGGAAAACAAAACAAAACCGTAACACATTCGCAGCGTTCTTATCAGCACATAATGTCGATATCGCGTGCATAAGCAAAACACATCTAAAGGCGCGTTTACACGATGACAGTATCACTCGACAGTCGCCGTCATGATAGTCGCTGTCGTAAGACTGTCGTCGTGTGAACATAATGACAGTTGCTGCCACACTGTCAACTGCCAGCTGTCGAACTATCTAGCTCTGCTAGATAGTAGGTAGTAACTAGCTGACAGTGTGACAGCCACTTCTATCGTGTAAACAGTGACTACCACACTGTCAACTACTACCGTAGTACGATTTTTGTATTGTTGTTATCAATTATTACTTATTATTACATATACCTACAATTTTTATTCAATTAATTTAAATGTTTAAATAATAATATATATCTAATTATAATAATTAATTGAAAATTATATAAATGAAATTATAATTCAAAATGGTTTTTGATACTATTCAATTTCTAAAATATTACGAAGAACATCCTTGTTTATGGGATAAATGTATACCTGACTTTATTGCTAGTGACAAAATTAAATTTAATGGGTACACGACTTATCGCAAAGATGGGCTAGTGGTGTGACCTTCAGGTGGTGTAGCTATAATAATTAAAACAAAAATTAAACATCATCAAACTTATCTACCTATATTGTAAACTCTTGAAGCAGTATCTATTATCAATCTATATCTATATAGCAATATCTATTTCAATAAATTACTCAATCACAACAATAATTAGCGCTTACCAGTCGCCTAGCTTTCAAATGTACACTAATGACTTTGACAAAATATTAAATAGCTATCAAAGAATTTTGCTAGTAAGTGACGAACTGCAAACACACAACATGGAACCACAAAGCTACAAAACCAAACAGACGTAAATTATTCAATTATCTTTCAGAGTTCCACAATCATGTGTGCTCCAGATACACCCACCTACTTTCCATACGATCAAAATAGAAATTCTGATATTTTAGATGTAATTTTACAATAAGCGATCCGTTTTTCCATTCATCAAGAATCACTATTTGAACTCAATTTAGACCATTTACCTGTAAAAATCATAATAGACACGTCTCTATCATTTTCAACACCCACCTGTAAACTCATCGTCGTGTCTGGCACGACGAATTTTTATTTAAATTAAAAACATTAAATACTCCAACCGCAATTTACAATCTAATTAAATCTGCTTAAAAGTTCGAATTAACGATACTACATCGGAAACAAAACAAATTAACGCAGGAGTAAAATGGGGTGACAGTTGGTAACGTACGATAGTGTGGCTACGTGCCGTATCCCCACAGTCTTAAGAGGACACCACACCCGAATGTGTTGTTTCCGTCTGACCCACGTACAACAGCAAATTTGAGTTCAGTAGCTTAAATGTAGTGATGTTAGCTTTAATATAAGACTTGTAATCAAACTTTTAGAGAAGAAAATAATCTGTGTTTTGTTAGTTGTTTTTTTGATATTTTAATTTTTAAAGGAGTAGGTAAAATATACAAATTAAAAAAAAATCAGAACTCGTTTAAAAATTAAAATTTCGGAAAAAACTCGATCAACAAGACACAGATAATGTTCTCCTAAAGCAGTGGTTCTTAACCTATTGTAGATCATGGACCTCCTTACTAATATTTTTTGGAATACTTTTTTTTTACAAAATATCTCGTTATTAAAACCAAAATTATAGTAATTATTTTATATAACATATATATATATATATATACATATATATATACATATACATAATATATACATATTTTATATAGTAAACATAACAATACATACACATTTATAGTTATTTTTATTATATGTATATATATGTTACAGTTAAAGTATTGAATATAAAATATACTTAATTTTTTTTATTATTATTACATTCAAACAAAAATGTTGACCTTTTTTTAGGATATTAGTTAATTTCAAGTTTTTTAAAATCAATAATATATCTGATATAATAGTCACTTTGAGTTTTAGTTGGACCTGGTATCTTAGATAAGATTAATATATTTTTTTTGTCTTCCATTTCGTTTAACATAGCTTTTGAAATAGCTTCAGAGACGCTAGAAATAAAACATGGTTGTTTGTTAGAATATTGACATGTAAGTCTCCTGTAGTCGCATGTGAATTTCAGAGCTATTTTAAGTTTGCTCATATGTACGACATAATATGCAGTCTCCTGTAATAAAGGAAAATTTTAATTTGGTAAATGTAAACCACTTGAAATCTTCCATAGTTCCTAATAATCGTATCAACAATAAAATATTATAATAATACATGTATACTTGGATTTGGATACTTGGTTTATATCAAGGATATTTATAACTATGTGTCAGTATAATATGAATTCATTGCAATGTTTATATTAGCACTTTAAAAAATTTATATAAAAAAAATTGATGTCCAAAAAATATTGAAAATGCACCAAAAATGTCTAACAAATCCAACTAAATGTTTTTAGATAGTTTTCGGACCCATTTGGGATGAATTTGGCGACGATATTCTAAAATATTAAAAAAAAACTATTGCCCAACAAATGTTTGAAATGTTTCAACAACGTCCAAAAAACAACCAACAAATTTCAAGGTCGTATCTGGCCGTATCTGGCCCAACATTTCTTCAATATTTTACGATTGTTTAAAATATTTATTTATTTTTAATACCAACATAAATATTTTCAGTCAAAAATGACTTAAGCTCCAATTAATCATTGATTGCTTTTAATTTTATATCATAACATCATATGAAAATATGATATTAATTTTAATAAAAGAAGATTAAATCTTTCTTTTTCTTATTTTTAACCAAATGTCAAAAGTTAAAATCTAAATTCTATAAAATTACAATATACATATTTTGGACCCCTCCAAAAAAAAAATTTCTAGATACAGTCTTGATAAATTTGGTAATGTTTCTTAAGATATGTTTACAAGTGTGCCGTTATGTTTTAGGGCATACTATGTAAGCGATTTCTAACAATTATATAGCTAAAAAAAAAATATATTTTTCGGTAAAGATCGTTTGACTAAAGTATCATTAATTTTTGGTTACTAAATATAAGTTTAGAATATTTTGTCTCACGTTTATGTCTGTCCGTCTTTTAGTTTCCAGTATATAGTTATAAGTCTGATCGAGTTAGATTATTTAACTACCTATTACATAAAAACTTTGATTTACATAACAAGTATTGATTTATTTCCTTTACCTCTAACATATTTTGCAGCATTTCTTGTCTCAATTTAAATCTACCATACTGAAATGGATTTTGAACTCTTTTTATACTCTTGATCTTTGGTGAAATTGAGTTAAAAAGTGTAATGATGTTAATATACTCTAGACTATTCACCTCGAGATCAAATAATTTATAACTCTCATCGTAGTTGTTCACAGTTTCCCATTTATCAGGCTTATGTAACAGTATGTATGATAGCATTGAATTCATCATATCTATAAATGATTGAATTATTTAATTACAATATTGGTATTTATTATTTATAATTCATGAATAAATATAATAAAGTTGTATTTTATTTTTTCGAGGTTGACAAATTAGTGACTAGTGTGTATTTTGTAATTTTACCAATTTAAAGCTTAATTAAGATCTAATACTGCACAAAAATATTCATAAAATAATTTATACTTTATACATTTGGGTATAATAGTTTCTACCAAAATATTTGTTGCCTTATTCATTTTACTTACAAGTAATATAATATAGTATCGAGTAGCACCCACAGGTTTACCATAAACCAGTACAGTTATAACTATATAAGGCCCCAAACTTATTTTGGTCTACATCCATATGACCATATTCGTTTGAAATAATTCTTTTTCCAAATGCATTTTCAAACGTTTTATGCTTAGAATAAATTCACACTTCATATAGAAACAATAAATGCCCAAACATTTCTTGGTGAAGCAAAATGACGCATAAGAGTAGACAATGTTCAAATAGTAAGTGATGTATATTATACTCACATCTGAAGATCATTTCATCCAAACAGAAAACACTACTAAACATCAATCAGGATACAGACAAAAGGTAAATGTATTTATATACATAAACACACAGTAGAAAAATCCGGTGTATACTAGTTGCGGTCGCCCAACAAAAAGGTTACGTACTAGTTGCGGTCACTCAACAAAAAGGTTAGATACTAGTTGGGTCACTCAATATAATATATATAGAACTATGCTATTTTATTTACAAACAATTTTTAATCAACATTTTCCTTCCCATTTACATCGAAAAGATAACAGACTTAGGACTGACTACACTCTTATTTATTGTAGTGTAGGTATGGTTAAAAATGTTTATACTTTTTTTAGTTTATTTTTTTAGGTTTATGTTTAAATTAAGTGGTTAAACTTGTGTCAAATAATTATAGTAGTAAAAGTAATATAATAATAGTTATTAAAATGTTGTGGGTATAAATTTGAAAGAAATCGACTACACATATTCAAGTCGATTAATTTCACCTTCTTCATAATAGCGTATTTGTTGTGCTAGAAAATTTTCTTTCTCGGTCGAATTATTAACACGAATTGTTTTTGAACAATTAATTTTTAAATAGTTATTAGTTTGAATTTCATTCATAGCCTTAAGAAATATATAACTATTAGGGTGAGAGTGGTAAAACATGCTATTGAGCTTAGAATGAAAACTTTCGTATGCATTGATTGTTCGAGTAATGGACGAAGACCATTCAGCCCATAATGATGGCAGGTACATCGAATTTTCTCTTATATACACTTCTAAAATATAGTCTGTAAATGAAGACAATTTCGCATTAGATGGAAGAAGAGCCATTATATCTGTGACAAAACAATCGTCTACTTCGTTTGGTCGTAGAAAAGGAAGTCCGAAAAAATATTTCAAATATTCGGAACTTTCACCAGTTTTCATATATGTTTTTTGCAAACCTAATGACTGCATTTTGCGAACTAAGCTTGCCATAGGTGGAAGCGACATCTTTTCAAATTTGTAGTAGGCCAAACCTCTTTAACTGCCGTATGGATAGCGTACGGTGTGTATAATAAATCGAAAAATAAGTTTATCGTAAAATCGCTTGCATGACCGCAACTAAGATATTACCTGAAATTCACGTGACCGCAACTATTGTATGTGCTTATCTCAAAAATCGTCCTGACCGCAACTCGGATACAGCCGAAAAATCATTCTTTGATGGTTACACGACATCCTGACAACTGGTCGTAGCTGTAATTCTGTCACGTCCCGCATATAAACAATAAGTACGAGCCAAAGGTATCAATTTCACAAACTTTGAGCATTACATATTACCTGACTCGCGGATCACTTAACGATCATTGTGTTAAATAAAGAACCAACCATATTAAATTTCCCACTAAAGACTATTCCTTATTTTGATGACCAAAAGATAAATTGTGGTTGAAACCGTATATGAGTGCAAAACACATGGTAAGACAAATACATTCTTCGCTTCAATTAGAATCGATGTTATATTGCTACTATATTGCCTTAGTAATTTTATTTCCTCTATATTAACAACTCAACTGAAACCAGTTAATCTAACTATTAAGAACATGTATGTATATTATATAATTCATTCTTAAATGTTTTTAGTTTTAATTGTTGTCATGTCTTATTTCCAAAAATAATTACTGATCTCCATAAAAATTACCTTTGGATTTATTATGACTTATAAAGATCGTACTTGAAAAAAATTTCGAACAATTCACATTTTCAAGTTATTTTGCAAATTTAAAAATGAAATACAATCTTATTCACATATTTAATTTAAATGAAATATACCAGTTTAAAACTTTTTGAAAATACATCCAATGGCCATACAAAAATATTTGTCCTTGCAAAAATATGAATTTAATTTTGATATTCGGTAAAAGTTGTTGATTATAAAAGTAAAAAAGCTTATGAAAGACAAATAAATACTGAATATTATCGATTCAACAAAAGAACTATGTTTAAACTTATAAATAACAATCATTAATGAATTAAAATAATTAATATAATTTTAATAAATTATTAAATTATAGTTTACTTACATATTTTATTACATCAATGAAGTAGAATTGTATAAGCTTCCTGAATTTTATAAATAAAAAAAATGTTTTTACCAATTAATTATGAACGACTAACTGTAATAAATCCAATCTAAATTATTTTATACGACTAAATGTTGAATAAAACAACAAATGCTGAGTCAACACTGAATATTGAACATTGATATGTTTTCGACCAGAACGACAGAATATGATGACAATAATTATCATTATCACTAAATATCACATTTAATATTGTTTATGTATACCATCGCCAGTATGTAATCGTACCTATACATTTATTTTCTATGTTTACTTTTTAAAAATTTTAAATTTTATACACAAGTATGTAATATCATGTTATATTATATATAATATTATTATAATGAATGACTCAAGATAAAGACGTTTATCTCAAAAATAAACAAAACACTATCGCAGTAGCATTTTAACTTTAGTATAAATATTCATAAAATGAATAGGCCGTTTATAATAATATTAACTTAATATGAACAATAAAAAATTACTTCTTATATTATTTATATGTAACTATTGTGAGAAATGTTATCAATTTTTCTGGATTTCTAACCTAGATTTCTTGGTCCATAGGTACAACTTTATTTTGATAAATTTGTAAATTTGTATTATAATTCAACTGATTTGTTATAATATTGGTGTAACAAAAACAAAATAAAATAATAATAATAAAAATGATTGAAAAATTTGATTTATTGCATTAAGATTTGATTATTGTTTTTGCTTTAAGATATAAAATAATAAAATTGATTAAAATGTAATTAACTTAAATCAATGATAGTAGTGAAAAATTAAAAATAATTTATAAAGAAATTCAATACAAGATTGCCAATATTTTTTGCTGATAATTATTTAAAATATGGTTAGTTTTGCTTATATATTGTACTAGCTGAATTACCCGGTTTTGCACGTAAAAATAAATGTTTATCTTTATAGTTACTTTAAATCAGTGTTTCCCAACCTATGGGTCGCAACCCAAAATTGGGTCGCGGTATATTTTTTATGGGTCGCGATTGTCGACCAATTGTATCAGGTAGTACTATTTATAATTATTTATAATACTATATTATCGCATATTTTAATTTTTATTTTTTAGTTTTGGGGGAGGGTTATGTCACGTTATCAACAAGCAGTAAAGTTGTGGGTCACCATCAGGGACGGAACTAGGGGGTGGAAGACAGGGATTCATCCCCGGGCGTAAAATATTAGAGGGTGTAATTTTTGTAATTATTGACAACTAATTTGATATTTTTAACATTGTTAAATACTGTTATTGGGTTAAAACTTAATAAGTATGATTGTATATTAATTATTGGAAAACAATTCTCGAGAAGAGTATTTGATTATTGGTCGTTAGTCGTTTTATAGGGCGTAATTTTAACATTTTCCCCGGGCGTAAAAATTCCTAGTTCCACCTCTGGTCACCATTACAAAAAGGTTGGGAAACACTGCTTAAAACAAATAAAAAAAAATCATATTCGTTGTTTTCCTTCTAATTTTTATTCAGGTATAGGATTGGCAGAAAGTTTCTCTTGCTGGCATGACTAAGAATTGTTTAGTTTTTTATTTAGCTATCCAACTGTGATATCCAGGTGTTAAATCAACAGTTTATATTTGGGTCTAAAAACTGCTGCTATAATAATAAGGTTAGGTTGATGAAATTATGTGGAGGTGGGCACTAGCAGTGGCATTATGATGGAATCTGTAGCATTGAGCTGCTATTCAGCACAAATTATAATTATTTATAAAAATTTTACTTTTTAATTAAACTCATAACTAGGTTTTTTTATAAAATCATCATTTTATTTATAAATAACAATAAATTAATTCATATGTTAAGCAGTGATGCTGAACTAGGGGTTCATACACTACCATCAGAACGTACATGTTTAGCAATTGTAGCTGCTAGCTAATAAATAATATACTCACTTTCTTCAAAAAAATTGTGTAAACACTATATTAGATGTGTATATATAATAATAAAATTACATGTATATATATATATATATATATATATATATATATATTGATTAATTATATTTAAAAAATAAATAAAAATGAAAAAAATTATAATATTAATCTACGTTTTGATGGTGTCATACTTTTAAATTGTTCAACTATGTCATCATAATTTATGTTTTTTGTAATTTCTTGTTCAATAAATAAAAATATTAATGAATCAAGTCTTTGTTGATTCATTGTATTACCAAGTTTAGATTTAACCATCGGAAATTTTTAAAATGCTTACTCACATGAGCAATTCGTTTCCGGTAATGTACTAAAAAGTACAATAACTTTATGAAATTCTACAAAAATACTTTTTTGATTACCTATTTTGATTAAGAAAATCAATCCAACTAAAGATGGTTTTTGAAGTGGAACCAATTGGTACATCCGGTATATTTTTAATTAATTTAATTTTCCCACTCAATTGTTTATTATCAACTTCAAAAACACTTATGCTGTACTCAGGCACGTACTGGCCCACCGGGATACCGGGAAAATCACGGTAGGCCCTCTTAAAAATTATAAGACATGGGCCCCCTACCAAAAAGATACCTGTGGTTTCAATTAAATTCAGTAATTTTATTATTTTTTATAATTTTAATGAAATAATTTAAAAGAGAAAATTACATAAAGGACAAATAATAAATTTCGTTGGTTATTTATTGATAATTAAAGAGCGGATCTTTAGGTTCTTAAAAGTTTTATAAATAAAAACTTAAACTACTGTTATGGGTCATTCCTTTGGTACCAGGTAAATTATTTAAATATAAAAATTTAAAATAGTTCATACATAGGAGTATAAATATAATAAAATTATAAATAAAAAACAATATAGTTAAATAAAAACAATGCACAACTTGTATGCACCATTCCTTGGTAAAAGATAAATTATTTAAATGGACAAAATGGATAGCAGTTCCTTAAATTGGAATATAAATATAACTAACAAATTTTTTTTCCTAGAAAAATCACAACTCGATAAACTAATAAAATATATTTTTTTATGAACAATAAATTAATTTATTCAAAAATATGAAAAATAGGCTAAATATTCTATAATGTCCAAGATTTGCTAAAATATGCAAAACAAATATTTTCCTACGAGCTCTATGATGGATACATCGTACAAATTTTTTATCCTAGTAAATCTGCATAAAGCCAATAACAATATATAAAATCCTAAAGATCCGCTCTATACTAATAATGCAATTTTTGGTGTACAATAACTAATAGCTTTGATCATATTTAACTATTTTATACTTATACCATTGATTATAAATACTAGTATTTATAATTACTAAGGGGAATCGAGGGGTATATTTGTTACCCCAGACATTTTTGTGGTTTAGCAAGGGTGTGTTTTAGTTACCCCAAAAAAAATTTATAGGTTTTAAAAAATATATTCGATATTTATTATTTAAGTGTGTACGAACATAGATTATCTATTATTGTGATTGTATCCAAAACAAATTTTATTTTGTGATATGTCCAATATGAACGATAAGACAATGTACACAAGTGTCGAACTAAGATTAACGAAGAAGAAGTTAGCCAGTTATCGTATTAAACCTATAAAAAATTATTTTTTCACTTTCTAAAAATCAATTTTGCTGTCCTAAAATTTGGACTCTAGTGACGCCCATAACTTGGATTACCTAATAATTATCAACGATAATTTTGACTACTCTCAGGAAAATAATAATAATATAATGTGTACAAGAAAAAAATGTAATTCATGTTTATTATGCAAAAATGTTATTTATGAGTTCAATACGTATTCTCTAAAACAGGGGTGACGAACCTTTTTTGGTTCAAGAGCTAAATTTTTATTTTTCCTTTCAAGGTTTTGAAAATCATTCACGTCATGGGTGTAGCGAGGGTGGAGCAGAGGGGCACTTGCCCACCCCTGTGCCTCAAACTGAATTATATTTGTTTATACCAAACTTGTAAGCTTTACATTAAAATCAAAAATTAAATAAGATATAATTCTAAAAATAGTTTAGTGGGACCGAGTGATATATCTACACGTGTAATCGTTTTGACGTTTTATGTGTTATCCAATGGTCTATTATGTTTTATTATATTAATCTGATTATTTGAATTACGAGTTTAACACTAATCATCTTCTGTTTTTGCCCCTCCCTGATTCAAATTTTAGCTACGCCCATGATTCACTGGAATTTTTCCAATTTTTTTTATTAGTCTACCATAATTTCAAAGTTGTCAATGATTCTTATTTATCTGTCAATTCTTATAAATAATTGAATAATAAATAACTTGAAATAACAAATAACAAATAAATAACAAATTGAACGAAAAAATAAATAGATAGTTTCAAAAGATGCAATTTTTATTTAAGTACTTAAATATGAGAGTTTTACGAAATACAATTACAAATATTAATTAATATACGCATTTTTAATTTATTCTCAAAGTAAAAATTCTAATCTTCTTGAAAGCAAACTCGTCAATAACAGCTGATGGGTTATCCATAAATTGTTCACTTATTTTCCTTTCTAAATATTATTGGTTTTTTTCTAGAAAAAATCTGGGTAGACCGGGGCGTACCAGGTCTACCTACTGGGGCTACGCTCCTAGAATATTGTCATTTTTAAAACATATATAAATTGTTTTTTTGAACTTCTTAAAACCAACATTTTATAAATAGTATAATTTTTTTTTAATTTTTAATTTACAATTTATCCAAGATCACTTAAATAAAAATCATTATTTTAATCAAGGCTTTGCACCCGAATAATTTTTTCGGGTTTCGGGTGTTGAATATATTCGGGTGTTCAAACTCCGCAATTCAACATTTAAACAAACGTTTGGGTGTTAATAATCGTTATTATTCGGGTTAATATAGGTTAATACGGGTGTTAAGTAGTCAAGGAAAAGTATTATTTTTCATTTGTGGGGGTTACTGGTGAGGCTGATCTCCCCCTTCACTAATAAAATATTTATATTTTTTGCTACCTGCCTATATAATAAAATATCAATTTCTTTTACAGCTGTACAACAGTTTTTTTAAACTAAATTATCATTGTGTTAATTTTAAGCAATGGTGTAACTACGATTTATTTACGGGGAAGAAGGGGTTATTTTATATGTG